AGGACCACGGTGTCCACACCGTGTTCCGATCATCCACCACCTTAAGGAGCCAACTCGTGCGCCCTAAGGATCCCATCCCACCCGGAAGACGCGGAGGAGTGGTCTACAAGATACCGTGCGGTGACTGTGGCAAGGTATATATCGGCGAAACTGGCAGACCAATCGGCACGAGAATCAAGGAGCACCAACGCGACGTGAGACTCTCCCGTGTGGAGTCGTCAGCGGTAGCCGAGCACACCTGAGGAGCTGGTCACCACCCCGATTCGGACAGCGTGCAGTGCGTGGACCAAGACCAGCATTGGTACACAAGACGCGTCAAGGAGGCCATCCACATCCGCCTGAATAGACACAACATCAACAGAGACAGCGGCATCAACATCCCCGGTTTCTGGCTCCCCACCATCCGCCAACACAACCACCGGAGCGCAATGGAGCCATACCGAGGACACGCCCCTTCACGCCCATGAAGTGGAGCGTACGACGCCCGCTGAGGTCACCTGTACTGCGTCCGCAACACACGGCGGGGGACACGCGGAGGACGCGGTCCGCCGGTATATAGCAGACCCTGCAGCATCCAGACTTCAGTCGCCTGATGAAGGCTAGCAGCACTAGCAGCCGAAACGTCGCTACCAGCAACACGACACCGCGAGTCATCGATTATCTTTTTACTGTATTTGCATATACCTACACGTACCTGTGTACATGTACATGTCCACCTACATGTATGTACTTAAAATGATTCAGATGTCACCACAGGCTACATACAGAGCCACAATTGGCCTGTACATTGGGAAGAGAACAACAAAATGAGCTTTTGCTTTTGCTTTGATGTGTTACTTTGGCATAATATGATGAATATTCAAATATTTATAGGAAAAAATATTTAGGGTCCCTACTGATTTGCACAGTGCAAAATTCTTGTAAAGATCATTAAAAACTCAAGTCTTCTCACAGAGAATCGTGTACATGAACAACTCTTCACATGTATTTATCATTATTATTTGTTATCGTTCTTACTATTACCATTATTATTAATTGTTGACCATGTCAAGGGTTGTGAACAAAACCTCAAGGTCCTTCTAAAATCACTCCCCGGATAAAATGATAAACGATTAAAGATAAAATAAGAAACGCTGTACATATACTAAGAACTAAAAAGCTAAGGGCTAAAACTAAAAACCAAATAAATCCATGCAAAACTAGAAGAAAGATATTGTTGCATCCTAGGCAAAAGGAATAGCACAGACACATAAAACAATGACTGAAATATAGACCAATAAAATAGACAAAAGACTAAAAACAGTAACAATAAATGACAACGAGAAAGCGACCAATTAACTGAAAAAGTTTGCAGGAAAAATAAAGAGTCTTAACCATACTAAATGTAAGCACAAAACCAAAACAGTAAGAAAGCACATAAAATGTGGGGTACAAAAATAAAAAAATTAAACAAAACAAAAGAAATAAATAGTTACACGATAAGATGAGACTGGAGCCATGGTTTAAAGATACTCAGAGGGGAACTATCATTGACCGTGTGGGGCTGGTAATTTCATTCCCTAGCTGTCTGGACAAAATAAGAATATTTGAGACAAACAGTTTTAGCAAAAGGAATTGTTAATTTCAAGCTAAATGTATGATAATTTCGGCTGATTCATGAAGCTGGCGCAAACTTATTAATAGCATTGACATTAACAAAGTTATTCATAATTTTATAGCAAAGCACAAGGCCAAAGAATTTTCTTCTTATTTGAAGACTAGTCCAGCTAAGTAGAGAGAGCAATGAATCATACATGTGTAGCTCGAGTCCCAATCACTGCACATACATGTATATCTGACGCATTAATTTTGGATACGTTCGATGATGTCCGAATGGCTATGTCTATATGGGTCCCAAGCCGTGCAACAGTAGTCTGCCCAGGGCCTCATCAAAGAAACATACAATCTTTTGAAGACATTACTAGAGCAGTTTGGCATGGTTCTCTTAATTAACCCTGTGATTTTGGTGCACTTAGTGTAAATTTCTTGACAGTGACCTTGCCAGCTAAGTTTATCCTTAATAGTGACACTCAAGTACTTTTCAGTGATTGTGTTCGGCAATTTATGCCCATCCATACGATAAAAAAAAAAGACATCAACAGTGAGGCCTGCATCTAAATTACTGCTCCAATTGTGAATAGCATTAACTAACTGTGTTTCACAAGATCGCTGCGGCCAAAAACCATGCTGATTATCATCAAGAATGTTGTTACAATTGAGATGTGTCCTAACTCTGTTGCATTTTTCTCCATGGATGTCGCTTACAATAGATGTAAGTGAAATTGGCCTGTAATTGCTGGCATCATTACCTCTGCCCTTCTTAAATAGCGGGACTATATTTTCTCGCTTCCAATCGTTAGGCAAAGAGTTGCCAAAATAATTAATGGCTTACTTCATAAATTTGTGTGCCACATATTGCTGAATAGATTGTAAATTTTGTTCCCTGCTATTGTATTACATGTATAGATTATTGTACTTGGCTTGTAATTGAGTAACTTACCATGTTTGATATTTTGCCTTGGTGGCAAGCTGCAATTGTTAATATGTCACCTTAGGGCAAGTTGTGGTGATACTGGTAATACCCCATATAAGATGCTGATGTGTTTTAGGAATCATTTCATTTGAGACTAGCGTGGTTGTCCATACTTAATTACATTAATATTGCCATATTTGAGATATATTTATGTGTTAATAACCGAGTATTTTGCAGTGCCTGGAATCAAGGTTATTAATTCATGAATTATTATTGTGGAATATTTGTAGCTGGTTTGAGACCAGAATTGTGAAAGTGTGATCCCTGTTTGGGAAACAATTCAAATATACGTAGTAGGGTCATCTTTCGGAAGCGGAGTATTATTTTAATATAGGATTTGTACAGCTAATAAATCAATTATTCTAGGTGAGAATCAACAGATTTTTTTTAATTTTCGCACTTTAATCAAGTGACAGTATATATTTAAGATGACATATTTAATTGCATGTGAAAGTGTTGAACTTGGGACATTTCGGAATAAATCATAAAAAAAAAACTAGTTTGTTTGATTGCCTTACCGACTGAGGTCTCACACCCTCCTTCAGAATTCTCGCAGGGATTTCATCAGGGCCTTGTGATTTACTGAAATTGATATCTTTTAGTATAAATTGAAACACCTTGAATGAAGTACATTCGATGATGGGCATAGTTTCAATGTCAGGTTTAGTATCTAGCTGAGGCATATCAGAACTGGATCGGTTATTAAAAACAGAGGATAATTGATTATTTAAAGCTTCTGCCATCTTTTCTGGATCAGTTGTGCTTTTCCCATTAATGTGTAAGCAATTCACTACCAAGTTATTATTTGTGCGGGCCCTGACATAATTTCAAAATCTCTTCGGGTTATTATTAATGTTACTTGTAATATTTCTAATGCAATCATTGTGACTTTTCTTGATATCACGTTTAACTTGTCCGGGTTTTTTAATTTTTCCCAGTGATGAGCCTGATTCAAACACTTGGCAATCTGAAACCATTTATTACATTTTCTGATCAGTAATTTAATCTCACATGTGATCCAAGGAGAGGGTTTACGGGTGCCACCTAACATCTTGTGTGGAATGCTGGAATACGCAATATACAGTAATAAGTCTTTCCAAGATAACCAGGAGTTTTGTATATCATCCTCACGTACTACATCAATTACACAGAAAAGTGCTGCAACTTTTCCTTAAATTTTACTTATTAACTACACCAGTTTGTGCACGACATTATACATTTCATTGCATGAAGCCAAGCAAAATGAAAGCCCCAGAAATGTTTTTTTGGGGGGGGATTGCACTTATAATTTTATGTCATTTTTTTCCCATCAAGTACCTTTAACCCACCATTGCCAGTGTTTGGCAGCAATCCCAAAATGACAATGTTGCTTCACTTCACAACAGCGATTTGTCAGTGTTTTTGGGCACCGACATGAGAGCGGACAGCATGGGTCATTCGGCCAAATACGGCTGTTACAGCACACTCGAGATGACTCTGAGTAAAGTCCTCCGTGTAGAACTTGTCCAGGTTAATTTGCACTCAAGCTTTATTGATCATTCATAAAACTAGGCATGTATCTTGTTATTGTTTCTGCCACAATCTGTTAGAAATTGTAATGCAGTGTACAAGCTTCTGGAGTGCACTAGTTTTCAAGACTTTAAAATTATTGTCTTTTTTTTATCTTTGATGATACTTTAAAGGCTTTGGCAGTTTAATCGCAATATTCCAAAGGGTTTCTTTTTTCCACAGAAAAATGAGGGCGAGAACAAGTCTAACCAGATGGAAAAAGAGGGCCTTCTCCGAACTTTGAACTGGCTTCAGACGAAGGTTGTCAAGCTTGGCACCATATTCACTGACCGACATCGGCAAATAGCAGAGCATATCAGCCCTTGGGAGTGAAGCATTGCTTTGATGTTTGGCACGCGACGAAAGGTAACAATATGATTGCAGTTTTTAGATATTTGGCCCCTATTTAAATAAGCACCCTAGTGTTATTACAATCTTTTTGCAATAATCCCAATGTCAGAACTGAAAATATGGATTTTGTTGTTAAGGTTACTGTGATAAACATGTCACTCTGCTGAGTTTGGTGTTCTTTTACTGTGTGCTTATTTATAATAACGGGCTTGAAGAAGAAGTTTACAAAAATCAGGAAGAAGTCAGGATGCAAGGTGGTGTTGAATTGGACTCAAGGAATTGTAAACATCTACTGGGTAGCTGCATCCACCATGTCCGCCCCTGATGGCAACCCTGACCTAATGCTCGCCAAGTTTGATAGTATCAGCAACCACATCGCCAACATGCATGAGCACAACAATGCCCTGTTTCCAAAGTGTGCCTGTGGGCACCTAGAAGTACGGGAGTGGATGAAGCCAGGCAAGATATCATTCAAGTGTGCAGAGTACATGTACTCATTTGATAGCCTATAATAGTGTTCGTGTCCTGCCTGAAAGGATTGTGGACTTTAAGACAGCACAGGGGCCTATCATATTGATTGCAGGTACCAAAGCAATGGAAGAGGTTGATAAAATCCTGTCTGGGGTATGGATCAGAAAAGATGTCACGATGTTGTCTCCCAGCATGCAGACATCGTCAATGGAAACCTTCCATTTGGTGATAAACCACTTCACACAAAAGATGTTGGTTTTTCATATGAGAGCATGCTGTGGACATTAGTTTTGCCTCAACATTTCTCCTTGGTGTAACAAGGTTATGTGACTAAATTTATTTGGGATTGCAGATTTATTGTTTGAGACTTGCACAGATTTTTAATTGAAAATGTTTTTATGTACATCATTTTGTATCGACAGACTATATCTAGCAGCTTAGCACTACAATGAAAATGCTGGGAGACAGCAAGGAGTAAACAGGGAAGGTGGATTACTGTACAGCATCAGCTTTGCCATAGCAAAGCAAGATAGCAGTGGATATGCAGTCAGAAAAGTGCTTATGAATGCCACATACGGTGAGTTTATTTTCAAGGTCCTCTTTCTTTTTTTTCTTTGATAAGATCCACGGTGAATTTTGGACCTTAAAATGTAGATGTATTACTGAAAACTTAGATTAGATAATCACTAATTTCATTTCTTGGCAGTGTGATTTCTTATAAGGTAAAACAACTTTGGAAATAGGAATTCCATAATTGCAAAGAGAATGGCATTAAGCAAACCTCTAAAGAAAACCTAGGAAAAAGTATTGCCTCCTATTTGTTGATGATAGATTATGCCAAGCACATCATGAACAAAGTCGTAATACTGTCTTCTGGGACTCAAGAATGTCACCACAGATCTGCCACAGCTCGCTAGAAAGCCCGGCTTCATATCGGAAACACTCACAAGACCAGACAAATCTGACGCCATTGAAAAATTTTTTCTCGGTTTGGAATGACGACAGAAGCCATAGTGAGGCCACAAACAGCAGAAGCTCGGGCTGTCGGTGACGCAGAAACAGGCAGGCGACAAAAGAAAAAAGAAGAAATCCAGCCCCCCCCCCAAAAGACAGTACTGGTAGTCAGACAGTTCCTGAGACAACTGAAATAAATCGAAGCAGTTCACGAAAAAGGGGTTGTGATGTTGGTTCAACAGATGCCACAAGTAAACAAAAACAAAGGAAAAAGTACCGGTAATTCACTCAATCATAGAGTTACATGTTTCTTTAGTCCTTTATTGCCAACAATTGTAGTGATGTTTGCAGTATGATTAAGAAGTAAATGATGA